CCAGGATCTTGAAATGAACCCTGAAGTTGACTGGCAGCCAGTGAAGCTGGAGGAGAAGCGGGGTGATGTGGGTGTGTTTGGAGGACTTGGTCAGAAGCCGAGCACAGGCATTCTGAACCACCTGTAGATGGTTCAGGGAGGTTCTGCTCAGACACGTGAAAAGAGAGTTACAGTAGTCTAAGCGTGAGGAGATGAAGGTGTGGAGAACTGTCTCAAGTAGGGCTGTCGCGGTAACCGCAAAAATGAAATATCGCAATATGAAGAAGCCCACCGCGCTGCATCATGGGCCACCGCGATTACTGAACTTGGTTCAACTCAATGATGCATGTTGAGAAGGATGGCTGCACTGGTATCAAAACGAAACGCTACTTTGCTCCTTTGGGAGCACTTTGGTTTTCAGTACGTCAGCTGCTGCGCAGCCAGAGTCCTTGGCCGAGACAGAGCTACCACCAGCGGCAAAATAAATAAATGAATAAATGCTCGGAGACCTGCTGAAGTCCCGGACAAGCACTGCTTCTGCAACCGTCCCGAAGAGAGTTTGAGCCGAGCTGGAGCTCACTCGCTACCTGCAGGAGGAATGCATCCACCCTAAAGAAACCCCCCTGACATGGTGGAGCAACAACCGGGAGAGATTCCCTTTGCTCGCCAGTCGCACGCAAGTACGTGTGTGTAAGTGCAACGAGCGCACCATCCGAGAGGGTTTTCAGTGTTGCTGGAAATGTTGCCACCCCTCTCAGATCCTCTCTCAAACCGTATATGGTTAACATGCTGGTTTTCCTTGTAGGTAACAAGGACGTGACCGAGCTATAAATCACAGTCATTCGTGTGTGTGAAAGTGAAATGATAGTGCGCCGCGCCCGGTACATGTAATTTTTTATGCTTGATTTTAAACAACTAAACAAAATGGGGACTTGTTTCTTATTTGTTAGATGCTGCAGCCAAATTTGCATTTAAAAGTTTAACCTTCTCCTGAATTTTGTTGTTTCTCCGACAGTCGGACTCCAACTGTCGGAGAAACAAACGTTACTGCGATCTGTGTTGTTACTGCCCTTTGATCTGCATTCAGTAAAGTGTTATTAAAGAAGGCACGGCAATTTTTAACCTTTTTTAAATGTGTAAACATTATGTTTAGATAGTACTGCAATAAAAAAAGGGCTGCAATAATATCGCACACCGCAATATTAAGCCACCCTGAATCACCGCAGGGGGAATTCCTCAACCGCGACAGCCCTAGTCTCAAGTTCAGATCGGGACAGAATGGGACTCAGCTTAGCAACGTTCCTGAGATGGAAGAAGGAAGAGCGAACAAGAGAACTGACATGAGAATCCAGGGTGAGAGCTGGGTCAAAGGTCATGCCAAGATTCCTCACAGAAGGTTTGGTGTGAGAAGCAAGCTGACCAAGAGAGTCTCTGACTTTGGGCAGCCATGCCCGACCCAGAACCTGACCCGTTCTCAGACCCATGAGTTCTGGCTGGGGCTATCCTGCACACACTGATCTTATCAGCGACTCAACGCTGCTTGAGAAACACTGAAATAAGCTTTTGAGAAGAGACAACTAGGATCAAAAATAGCTACTGTGTCTTGGACATCTGGCCCCTTAGAGGGCTTCAAAAATACAATAAGCAGAATTAGATTCTGGATTAAAACATGTCCTAGTCTGTGACACCTCAAAGGTCTTGTCGCGTCAGCAGAAGCTCTCTGTTTTTGTTGTCTTGTTTCTCCATTCACTGTTCCCTTTAAAAATGTTACCCCTAACTCAGTCATGATATTAACCATTGTGGGCACCCAGACGCAGAAGTGGGTCTCTTACTCATCAGTTTGGGTATATTTTAGCTCATTTTAAAGTTTTGACACACAGCTGCATCTTTATGCAGAACATACCTTCCCAGACCATGTAAGAGGAGGAAGTACAGGATTTAATTATCAAACTGCTCAGAAAACTGATCACTAGGGACGTCCTGATCAGGCTTTTTTTGCCCTCGAGTCGGAGTCATTTGATTTTGAGAACCTGCCGATACCAAGTCACGATCCGATACTTTCGATACATAAAAAAATAAAAAAATAAGAAAAGGAAGAAACTGTTCCAGAATGTTCCTTATTTTTTACTTAACTCATTCACTGCCAATGACGACTAAAGTCGTCATTTGCGTTTTTTTTTACTGTTTGAGCATCGGAACGAGCCCCCGCGCTGATAGAACAAACATCTCAGCCCTGAAGCCGATCTTCATCCGCATACGTCACAGATCACATGATCAGGAAGCAACACATCCATGTGTTTGGAGATCGTTTTGGGCCTTTCCTGTAAAAAAAAGTGAGGCGCGAACCGGAAAAGCGTCTGCCGATCACAATTCGACAACGGATAACGTTCGAAACACGCGGATTCTTCCTGATGTAAGAGGTGAGTCTCCTCTTTGTTTTGGTTGTTTTGGCATCGACATCATGCTAGCACGCAACGTTCTGTGACTCTTAAAAAAACAGTAAAAACGGTGAGAAACGCTGGCAGCGAAGGCCGTTAGTGATCAGGAAACGGCTGGCAGTGAATGGGTTAATGACCTAATGACCTTTTTATTTTCATTTTTAACAACAGATCACTTCTGTGAGGTAGCTTGAACAATCAAGTAATAAATAACATAAATTCTTCACTTTTGGATTTTATTGCAAATATAAGAAGTCTAATATAAAAACAGATAGCACTTCAACTTAAATACCTGGCAGGGGTCTATTTTGCCTCGGCCTCCAAAATGCTTAGATACGCCCCTGGGCATGGGACGGAGTTTTGAAGATGATCTGAATTGTATCAACTATATAAATACTACATGCTGGTAAGTTATTGCTTTATACAGGTACAAACGTGTAGTGGGATCAATCTACCTGCATTTTATTTTTTTAAGAACTTTGTTTTGTTTCTTGGTTTTTATTTTCCTATCTTCCTGTCCTGTCTGTCTCTGATCTTACTGCATCTGCCAGTCCTCCAGACAAACTCCTGCCTGCTTCCTTCTTTTTCACCTCGCAAGTAACTTTTTAACTAGCAGATCAAATTGATCTATTGACCACAAAAGAAAGCGGAGTGTGCGCTGCGCTGCCCGGCTGCGCCAGTGACGACCGCTGCAGCGCGAGCGCGACCACATGTCATGCTCAAATAGACACAGACAGAACTTACCAGAGGGTATCTGCAGGTTTAAGGGAGCCAAATTTAAGACTTTTTAAGACCTTTTTTAAGGCCACTTTGACCAAATTTAAGCTATTTTTAAAATTAAATTTAAGCTATAATTTCCAGCTATTCCCTGGAACAGGTGCTAACCACGCCGTGAATGTGGGATTAGCCATCCAGTTACCATTAATGTTGCCATGTCTTCCCCATGGCGCAAACTCCCACTAGTTTGCTCATCTAAAAATAGCCCCCTTTCACAACCAACCGAATGTGTACGGTTCCACTTACATCATACACAAAAAATGCCAAACTAACTAGAAATTCACGAACATTTTATAGAAATAAAAGAATCTTGTTTATTGGGTCTTTGGTCATTTAAGACCTTTGGAAACTATTTAAGGATTATTTGTCATTTTTAAGGATTTTTAAGGCCTTAAATTTGGAAAAGCTAATTTAAGACTTTTTAAGATTTTTTAAGGACCTGCAGATACCCTGTACCAGAGAGAAAATGAACGGACATGAATGACTGTGTGTTAATCATATATTTTTTGGGGACGCCACTTAGAAACTGAGAAAATGTTTCTGTGGTCGTGTGCAGAACGCAGCTGGAGTTCATGAATAATCAGCGGTCTGCCTGCTGCGGATCGGGAAGTAAAGCCCGAGTCCCGATGAGTCTGAAATCACGTGATCAGGGCCGATTTCCGATCATGTGAGCGGATCGGGGCATCCCTACTGATCACACTCAAAAGCGTTCACCTTGTCACACGAACAGAACTTCTCCCTCCATAAAACGCCCATCTTCTTTTGTCACAGCTGCCATTTAGACGTTTCTAGTCTGAACACGTTCATATCTTCATTAAGATGGAATTTATTCTGACAGTAACGGCAGCTTTTATGTTTTTAGTAGTTTTATTTTTTTTAAGTGTTTGTTCTCTAAAAAAATTATTATTTATTTATATTATTTGCAAAGATAAATACTTCTGCTGACTTCTCTGGTAATTTTTTTTGTGAATTACAAAAATCAGTTAGAAACCAAAATGGGTTTTGTGGCTTCCAGACTGAAAGTTAATGAAGCTCTAAAACAGCCACTGCTTTGGTTGGTATTGATGGAATAAAATGACTCTTTATCACACCGTGGCTTGAAGCCAACGTGGTGGGAGATACGTCTTGCCAGAATCAATCCCCAAACTTAATTCAGAGCAGAGCACCAATTTAAATGTACCGATCTGAGACAAAACAGGGAATCTCATCACTCCACCAACCTAGAACACTTGCAGAAGAAGACGTTCAAGATGTTCTACTCACAACAGACAGATTCAGAGTAATTTAGTAACTATAAGCACATGAGCTGGCTGTTGTATGAGTACAGTTGTATGACTTCACATGCATGACTGGAGGAGGTCTGTTGGCCAGGTAACAGAATTTGATGCAGTTGAATTATAGAAATCTGCCGTTTTTGATGCCTAGCATGATTACATTTTCATTTACGTGCAGAAAATGCAAATGTAGTAATAATTATCATCAGAGTTTAAGTTGCCCCGCTCAATATTCAGTACTCTGTCTGACAAACTCAAAAACACAGAAACGTATGTTTATGTTTATTTATTTAGCAGACGCTTTTATCCAAAGCGACTTACAATTTATAACCTATAGGACATGTTGTGATCCGTGGGGGAAACCGGAGTACCCGGAGGAAACCCACGCATGCATGGGGAGAACACGCAACTCCACGCAGAAAGGCTGCAGCCGAGTTTCGGACCTGCGACCTTCGTGCTGCGAGGCAACAGTGCTAACCACTGTGCCACCATGCGGCCCAACTTGAAACTTGATAAACCATCAGAGACTCACCAGCAGCAAAGTCCCCGTTCAGGTCGATGAAAGCGTTAGAATGAGGAATGCGCATGTGGACGGACGAATTCAAGGCCTTCTGCCACACCTGATTCCTACAGAGATTTCAGACGGATCAAACATGACAGCAGTGGAAATACAATAAGGAACAAGTAGGGAAACAGGAAGTTTGTATTTACCTGTTCGTAAGAAAGCAGACTTCAGTAGATGAAGCGTCGATGGCACCAAAAACATCCGGGATCATGTCCCCATTGAAACTGGAGTAAAACAAAAACGCTTTTAAAACAATTATCACACAGGCTTGAGCTGAATATAACTGTAAGAAAGCATGTAAATGTTGCACAGAGCAAGTCAGTGTCTAAGCATACTTCATCCAGAGGTCATTCAGATGATTACTTACTCCATCACTAGAGGCTGGTCTGTAAGGTTCTTACTCAGCATGACTCTATCACCCAGATCTGCACAGAAGGAACACAGATACCAGTCCCTGATAACAAATGTCTACAGAAGCACAGCTCTCAGCAGAATGGTCTCACTGGACTGGAACCAGTGCCTCTAGATGTTAACACAAGACCTTAAAGAAGTTGTATTTTTATTTATTATTGAACTGCATTTTAGTCAAAGATTGTTTTTAAACATTTAAAAAATTCTGGATGTCACCAATAATTGAAAATAATATCTTATTTTATGGTGAAACAATGCATAATACCACACACACACACACACACACACACACACACACACACACCAGGGTTTTCCCCCCTGATTTGGAGTTCTGACACAAGTCTTCACACGACTTTTGACTGAACTTTGCAGGACAAGCACATGTAAAAAACAACAAATACAATAAATGTATGTACTGATATAAAAACAAGCCATTATTTACAGCATATTTCAAATTAACAGTTTAATTTAAAATGGACTTGCAGCTCAACTTGTAAAAAAAATCTATTTACAAACTAAAACCCCAAAACAACACAGTGATGTGACGCTGGAGTCTTTGTGAATCGTTTGCTTTAGTTAATCATACCTAACGTCTGGTTGTTTCCCCAAAAGATGAAAACTGTTGTCACGCTGGAGCTGATCTGAGCTGTAAGAAGGACATCCATCTGAGAGTCTCCATCATAATCTCCAGGAACTACACTGGTGATGACTGTTCCCCTGTAAATACAACATAAAACTTACTTTAAATTAAAGTTAGAGGCAAAGTAATCAAAGTTACTTTTATATTATTGTAGAACTTTTAAGGATGACATCTGCTATAAACAAAATACATGGGAAAAAAAAAACACCAGATTTATTTTTAAGTACCTACTTTGGCAAAATATCCTTTGTGATCTTGACTTTGGGTTTGAAGTAAGGAGAAGTGGAGTCAGCCAAGAATATCAAGAGTTCAGTCTCTGAAAAAGAACATTTAATACATCATCCATCAGTAGCTATGAACAGTCCCAACAGAGACATATCAACGGTGTTTAATACAGTCAGTAACGGCAGAAGGGCCACTTAGGAAAAGGTCGTGACAATCCAGAAACCTAAATAATAATCAGCTTTCATCCCAGCCGTGTTTTTCTCAGTTGTTGTTTTTAATAAAAATGAATCAGGAAGCAACGTTGTCTTCAGGAAGCCACAAAAAATCACACATTTTAGGTAATACCTATCTGATATTTCTAAAAACAATCTTCTTAACTCTAATTACACATGTATAGGTGACAGGCTGTAGCATAAGGTGTCTGAGGATAGTAAACAGAACCTACGTTCTCTGATGATGAAGATATCCGTCTGTTTATCTGAGTTCAAATCACCAAACGCCGCCACCGTCCCATTATTCGCAATTCCAAAAAGCTCGGCTGTTACATCCTGAAGAGCTACTGTATTGTATTTCCCCAGAATAAAAACCAAAAACGCCAAATGGTTTAATTTAAATGCCCACATCCTGCTACAGGTGCAGCTATTCACAACATCCACTGATCGTAATACGGCACACTGCTTTACAGCTTCGAGAAACAGGAATTTATTCTGGTAAAATAACATGTTACAGCAAATATTGAACTTTACTTTCATGTAATTGGTTTAGTTAATTTACTCATGTTGCTATGTAAAAGAAAGTTGCTGAAATAAAGGCAAATAATTCCATTACGATGGGTTTTTATTTACGTCACTGTCGTGAGCATGATTAGCTACACGGTTGACAGCAGTGTAAAGCTAATGAACGTAGGATAGAAAAACGCAGAAACGTACTTTCAAAATAAAACAAAGTTGTTGTTCAAACCAGACGCAGACTGAAAACAAAACACTATTATGGTTAATGAAGGGTTTAAATACAACTAAAATTTTAATATGTTGTTTAATTATGGTCTACATAATCATCGGTGCTCATTTAGAAGGCTTGCTGTTAACCTTTGCGTTTTATTTTGAAATACCCACATCTGCCAATTTCTTGAACTTTCTCTTGGAGCTGACTCTGTGTAAATATGGCGAGCATAGCAGATGTCGGCTGGAAGCTCCTGGAATTCAAAGCCCGTTCAAAAAGATCAGGTCTGACTCTTTCTTTGCATGGTTAAACAGAACGTGACACTTCCGGTCGCTTCTCTTGTGCCAGTGCTTGTGCTTGTAAAGCGTCTTCATCCGAGCTTCAGTGTGGCTCGATGTGTACAACTTGTCCACTGCGGTGATGGTTCAAGCACGAAAGGTCAGGGGTGCACTTGCAACACTCAGTCGCTATTTTAGGATCTTCTCACTAGTTCTCGTTTCTCTTACATCTCACTGACATTTAGGTGTCCCGTGTTATTTAATTATGTTCAAATCTACAAACACACACATGGAAGTAAATGACTCAAAACTGACACTTGGCAATAGAGATGCACCGATGCTGTTAGGAAGAGCTGAAACAGGCTTCAGATTTTCTTTTACATGTTTGACCTGCTGATACAAATTACTGAACTGATTTATCTCAAATAACTCTATAAACACACACAGAGATTCCTTGTAACCATAAAAACCATTTTGTAGGTGGGGCAAACAAAGCTGGGCTCAGGGCGTTTAAATCAGTTGACTGAAACTGACATTTTGTGGCCAAAAGGCTGAATTACCATTGTAAATGATATATTGTTGCGCCTTCCACGGACCAACAACATACAGGCTAGATTAACTGGTGACTAAATAGGTGTGAGTGAGTGTGCGACTAGTTTTTTGTCTGGCGGATGGCAGTTCAAACTGATCCAGGTTCTATTGGAGGTAAGAGGATTTTTCCTCCCCACTGTCGCTACGTGCTTGCTTAGAATAGGGATTGCTGTAAAGTCAGCCACTCTGTACAATTTGCTGAGTTTCCACACAATGGAAATTTTTAACTAATTAGCATAATGAATTGATCTCAATTGGAATGCTTAATTTATGAAGTACATTGTGATGACTCTTGTTTTGATTTGGCGCCATAAACTAAGAGAACTGAACTGCATTGACTAGCGGCTTGTCCAAGGTGCCCCCCTTCACCTGATGACTGCTGGAGATGGTCACCACCTCCCTCTCTGTGACCCTAGTGAGGATGAGGCAGGTAAAATAACAGATAGATGGATGCTTGGAGCTCTAACTAAAAGTCTACCAGCTGGATCTCCTGTAACTAACTTATCTGGCAAACTTAAAACCTATAAAATTAGATGAAGTTTAAAAGCACAGAGTCATCTTAACTGAATGAGTGAATTACTTTGAGGATGATCCAGTTTATAATCGTTCAGGACCTCTGTCACTCATTGTCTTAACCAGATGTTGGGTAGCTTTTGTCTAGCAGTCATCAGGCGAGAGGCGGGGGACACCCTGGACTGGTCCTAGTCCATCACAGGGACACAAACACACATACTCACACCTGGCGACAAGTTGGATCCTACAGTCAACCCAACATGCACGCCTTTGGTCTGAGGTAGGAAACTGGAGGACCCAGAGAAAACCCACACATGCACAAGGTTAATAACATCCTAACTCCACACAGTCGTCCTGCAGCTGGGATTCAGAAATGCATAACATGCATCAACTTTATTTCAAAATTTACAAACATACATCTTTATCTTATTTATTTAGGTTATTCACTCCATGGAAGCACAAGGAATGAAACGTATTTCTCTTAAAAACTACTTTTTAATACTTTCCTCAGACCAGTTGTAGTTTTTTTTACACCTCTGACTACATGCCAGGGAGGCTCGCAGTGCATTGTGGGTAACATACAACATCAAATTAGATAAAATTGTAATTAAGACTTCTGGTTAACTTGATTATTATGATTCTTGAAGTAAAAATGTCATGAAAGTGATATCAGTGCTTGAGTGAATTAGTGTGCAGTGATGGTGAGTTCATGGCCCAAGAAAACTAGTCAGATTTATGAGTTTCAGATTAGGTGATCACCAGTTAAACCAGTGCTGATTACTGGTGGATTCCAGCCGCCAGGTGATCATCTGGATACATCTCTACTTTAGGGCACCAGACTAACACAAACCTGCTGACAGCACGTATTCAGACAGGATTCACCTTAAACCCATAATAAAACATTAAGCAGTTCTGGATTTTACTCAATATAAACATTTTTATCTAAATCAGATCAGGAGATTGATTAAAACAGCTTTCAGAAAACAACAATTATGTAATTCTACAATTGTATTAATGACTGTTGTAATTATAAATATCATAACTGTATTTCTCTCAACAGTTACCATAACTTCCAATCCAACGCGTTTAAAGTGCACTGTGATTTTGTTTAGCATGTTGATGATGATGATGGCGGTGATGATCACAGAGTGTAATTGACTGATGATTGGTGCATGTCTAAAATCTAACTCCGTGCTACTAACTCCTTCCTGTGAATTGCTGTAGATTTCTGAATTAGCTGAGAGAGACGATTGGCCTTAATTTCACCTATTGAGAATGGCTGTTTCAGTGGCTGCCAAAGCTCGGTCCCATCCTGAAGTTCTCAGACTCGGTAAGTAAGAGCCTCAGATCCGTGCACGAGATCAGAAGGGTCTCGTTAGTGCACTCAGCGTTTCATTCGGCTCCTTTTCAATGTTTAGTTTGTTTGAAAATAAGATGATTTTTGTCTTTCACAGATAATGGTTCACAAAGACATTTCTACGTTATGAGACAATGATATAAACTGAGATGTAACCATTTTAATTCTGTCGCTGGCCCTTTAAATCCTTGACAGGACTCCTCTTGTTCCTTAACTGAATGTAATGATTCAAATGTACACAACTCGGTACACACGCTCTCACGCTTCTTATCTGACAGATAAACCAAATCCATAGTTTCTTCCTGTTTTAGATGGCCCCGTGACATTTTTTTTTTCAATCAGGTCAAGTGAAAGTGTTCAGAGAAAGACTAGAGAGGGTTTGTAGGTCCCCGTTGTTTGTAGTTTAATGAACCGCTCAATGGATTTTAATGAAGCACAGCCAACCAAATAACTGGGAGGGAGCCTACGTTCACACTGCAGGCCTCGATGCTCAATTCCCATTTATTAGAGTAAATTTGATTTATTTTTTTGTGGCTGTTTGCACTATGACTGGAATACAACATCAAACCCTCTCCAGTGTGAACGCTTCGCGGCCCCAAAGCGACCCGCATGCGCAGAAGACAAGAAGTCAGTCGGTCGAGCTGAATCCAGGAGGGGCAGAGTTGTGATGTTAAAGTTTTCACTGACAGTTTCTCCACAGGATCAGGATCACACCTGTTAATTCTTCCGTTTTGGGCAGGACAGTGGCGGTGCCAGGGGTGTGCTAGGGGGTGCTATAGCTCCCCCTGGATTAGTCATTGCACCCCCAAGTAAATATTAGATTTTTTTTTTACAATTTAATTTTAATTTAACGTGTGGATGTTAAAAATAAAAAACATGTTCATCTGACCAAAGTGACGTGATCGAAACAGATACCGCATAGAGGAGAGCCAAAAAGGCTGCGAGTTTAGCGAGCTTCAAAAGTAGGAGCCTTTAACGTAGATACGCTTCTATAAATCTGGCCTTGTGGTAAGTAGCAGCTTCGCTGCCTGGCAAGAGGGGAGGGTTCTGCAACGTGAAGGGCAGCAGTAGCTCAGGGGGTACAGCTTGCTGTCCAGCAATCGGAAGGTTGCAGGTTCAATCCCGATTCCCGACATAGAATGCTGCTGTTGTGTCCTTGGGCTAGACACCCAACCCTCCTTGACTACTGGTGGGGGTCAGAGGGGCCAGCCTTGCCTCTGTCAGTGTGCCCCTGGGCAGCTGTGGCTACAGTGTAGCTTATTATCACCAATGTGTGAATGGATGAATGATGCACTGTAGTTTAAAGTACTTTAGAGTCCTATGGCCCTATAAAGCATTGTACAAGTGCAGGTCATTCATTATATATATATATATATATATATATATATATATATATATATATATTTCATTTGTAGTCATTTTATTTATGAATCTTTACAAGCTAATAAATCTCAAAGTATACGACGGGCATAGTCAAAACTCACGTTATTACTAATTTAAACTGAAGAACAGCGTGCGTGTGATTCAGGGTGCAAAGTGGATTAGAAAATAACTTATAGCTCCATTCACTTAAAGTCTCTTTCCGGAGTATTTCACTTATCTGATGGCACCATCTAGTGGCTGACAAGCATATCACACAAAAAGTCTGTCGCTCTGTTTTTTGAAGATGGCGAATTCACGTTTCTGTTTATAAATGCGCTTCTGTAGCCGACAAACAGCTACGACACGCTGTTTTACGAGTATTATTCTCATGTCATGTTGCATTCTCATATATTTATATGTTAGAGTTTGTGTTATATGTTTCACTTGTCCGTGAAAAGTTCATCAACTTTGCGTCAGTCGGGGTATTCCTTAAATTTGCAACGTAAGCGGTAGTCTAACGCTATTGGTTAGTTCTGGTCGGCGCTCAGTTTCCTGTGGAGCTCTGCAAGGCAGGGGGCGTGCGTAGCCAAAAAGAAAAAAAAGACACATTGCTTCCATTATATCACAGTACATGAAAAGATAATCACTGTTACGGCTTTCTGAAAAATCCTACTAATTTCTGAGAGGGGAAAACTCCGGAAAGATACTTTAAATAAATTTTCTCTTTGTTCCGGGGACCCATGAGCCGACTGGTATACCGGTGCTGCTAACACACACACACACACACGCACGCACGCACGCACGCACGCACACACACACACACACACACACGCACGCGCGCACACACACACACACACACACACGCACGCGCGCACACACACACACACATACACACACACACACACACACGCACGCACGCACGCACACACACACACACGCACGCACGCACGCACGCACACACACACACACACACACACACACACAGCTTCTTGGATTACAGTAAATGTTTCTGCCATAAAAATAGGATCATTTTTTGTTTTTATCTCCAGACCATTTCCCAGACCTGTCTGTGTTTAGGCATTGTGCAGAACTGTGTGTTGGATGATGATGATGATGATATTTTTAGAACAAACGTAAAACCAAGAGAATTTATAACAAAAACCTGAACGTCCAAAGCTTGGTGTCAAGCTCTAAATAAAAATAAAAGCAGCATTTCTGAGGATGTCTTTGCTTTTTCAAAGTGGCAAAACTCCCGTTTCCCTTTTCTGTGCTGATGTTTGAAACGAAAATTATTCCACTCTGCTCTTTTAAAGTGTTAAAACTGGCTTTGTGGCTTGCTGCAGCTTTTAAGCTGATGGAAATTATGCTAATTTGAGTAAGAGTGTGAATTTTTCAGTACCTGTGGTGCTGACCCAAGGTCGGAGCCATTAAAATGCAAATCTAACAAAGAGAAAAGTGTCTGAAAACCAGAGGGCGCCTTATAGGAGCGGGTGGAGGGGTTCCTCCCGCACACTCGGCTCTGAGGGGGGTGAATGCCTGCTCCAGTGTCGCTGTGCTGTTGGAGTGTGAAGCTCTGGCCTGACTTGTTTTTGTGCTCAGCCCCTTTTGTTGCAACACGAAACACTGAAATTCACTGCTTGTGTTTTCGGCTCCCTGCTTATTTTTTGTGCTCTTCTCAGAAAGCATATTCATTTACATTTTTAAAGTCATTTTAATGAATTTAACCATGTTTACTTTTGAACTTTTTTATTTTCATGAAGTAGCTTTCTTACAGTCATTTATTTCATTTAAGTTTAAGAAGAGGAGGTAAATGTGGTAAACCTAAAGAACCTCTGAGACTTGTTCTGGGGGAGCTGTCCTGATCTGGACTTTGAGCTGATGTGTGTGTAATAAACTTGTCCCTCCTTAGGCTCCATCTACGAACCTCTGAGGCTGTCCAGTCTCCAGCGAGATGATGAGCCTCTGTGGGAGAAGCTGGACCGTTACTACAATGCAGGTACGTACACTCACCTTCTCTTTAATGACATAATAAGGATATTTGCCCCGGACATGTGGTGGCCCTGCTGAGAGCCATGAAGAGTGACACGTCTTATTTTGTTCATGATAAATGACAATTTAAAAACATTTTTATTGCTGCATAATGAACTCGTGTGTATTAAGTCCATTTGCATTTGTTTCCCTCGCCACTGCATAAAGTACGGGGTAGTTTTAAATGGTAATTAGGCCAAGTTAAGTGTATTTCTGCATAAAGGTTAGAAATGTTCTCTTACCTGTTGTAAACAGCTTCCTGAACAGCCTCCGTTCAGAGAAACAGAGTTTACACCCTACAGGACTGATGAGCTAACGGTTAGGCTAAACTCATCACAGATCCAAACTGACTGCTGCAGTCATGAAGTTCCTCTCATCTCCATAATCCATGGAAGGGTATTTTATAAATGTTTAATCTGCTATAAGTTTGAATAAAACTTTATATACGAGGTAAGCATGAAAACGTTGTAGTGTGGTGATTGCGTAGAATCTCAGTCATCCAAGCCTGATAATCTAGTGTGGTGTGTGTTGCAGAACATTCAGAAGTGAGTGTTAGTGACACCAGAGCCTCCAGATGTCTGGGCAGCAACAGTAAAACAAAAGTGTTGTTTACCCAAAGATCGACTCGCGTTGTTCTCTGCTGCTTCATTAAGACTTAATGCTCGGATTGAGCTTTGTGACTTTGGGAGTCAGTCAGTCATAAACTTGTGTTTTACACAAACACAGATCTAATGGTCTGTAGTCTCCGTCTCCTGAATTACTTTTGGCTCCTGTTTTTCTAAAATAGAACCACAAAGTAGAAAAAACTGTCATGGAAAAGGCTAATAAAGGTATATATATATATATATATATACACACACACACACATATATATCTATCTATATATATCTATATATATATATATATATATATATATATATATATATATATATATATATGTATATATACTGGTTATTTACTTTTATTAGTTGTACACTTTTTTAACACAGAGGTGTTTTTTTCCCACTTGGCTCTGCTGCTGTTTTGGTCAGAGCTGTCGGATTCATGCTGATGCATGAACATTTAACCAGTGTTATTTTAACTAGAGTGGATACAAATGCCCTCTCTAGTGTTCATTTAAAGCTGCAATAGCAAATCTGCAAACAAGCTAGGTTTTAAGGTCTCGGGACACTCACCCTAACCCTTGGGTGTCTTCTGCTGGAGCCAGACACCCATCTTTCCAGAGGAAACGAGATGGCGCTAAACACCAGTGGCCCTTTCTAGGTCCAAATGTCTTTTGTTTATCTGTGACTTCAAATGGTGTTTTTGTTTTTGGGACTATGTTATTTTGTCCTAAAGTTGAAGTGGAAGCAGCTGTTCCCCCAGGCGTATCAGCGTGATACTGCCGCCACGGCGTGTGTAGGACACGCCGTGGCGGCATGGCATTGGGGGAATTTTGCGGCATTGGTGCCGCCACGCTTGGTAGTAAAATTACCGCAGTGACTTCTTTGTGAATGCATATTATACCTTGGCGCAACAGAGGGAGGTGTCATGATCACGTGGGGGGTTACTGCCGAGCGCCGGGCGGCAGCTAGATTGAAAATGAAAGTAGACACTGGCACAAGTTTTGTTTTGGTAAATAGAATCAGCCGAGATGATAAGCTGGAGCGATGCAGCGTTCCAGGAGTTCCTCTCAGTTATTGTTGGAGCTCAGATCACCAGAGACTGCACAGGGGCATAAAGGCTCCCTCGTGCCGCCACGGCGTTGTGGCTAATTGGTGGCATTGTTTTCTAAAAGAGCCTTCCTTCTCAGATATTATTGAGCGGAGAACCTCTCACACCAGTGGTGTTCTGTTGCTGAATATGTGAGTGTGTTATGAGCGGAGGACCCAGGGACGTGCGGCAGTTTGGTGAGCCTGACAACCGGATGGTCCAGTAGTTACTTTTGGTTCAAAGCATGTTATTGGCAGAGGTTTTTAGACAAATCTGAGAGAACCACTTTATTTATTGATTTATTTTTCGATCTCCACAATATATTAATAGCTATACTATGTTAGAACGTTGTTTAGAGGCATGCACAAATGTTGAAGCTATACTTTGTGTTCCACATTTGCGATCGCAGCTTTAGTACTGAGTTTTTGCAGGGTATGAAAATGGAGAAGGTGTTTCTGTGCATTAAGATTTAAAACCATTTTTCCATGGTAACGATTCCACCCTGCTGCCATGCGGTCGACGGGAGTGTGCACGGGCAGCACGGATGAAACAAGCTACACAGAAAAGAAACAATGCTTTTGTTTATGAAAGTTTTGCTCATAATAGTGGTTTTGAAAAAAGGAAAAAGCTGAAAGAAGTCAGAGGACAAGCGTGCTGATGGAGGCCAGTGCAGGCGATAATTCTAAGATATGTAATCAGCAAAGGGGCTGCAGCTTCCCTGCAGCAGAGATAAATACACATTAGCACTGATTGCTGAATTACAGCAGCTGTGAGTGCAGCACTGTGACAGTAGCAACACACACACACACACACACACACACTCACACACACACACACACACACACACACACACACACACACACACACACACACACACACACACACACACACAACCCCATCTTACAACTACACAGCTTAAGCTAGCCCTTTTTGCTGCAAGTCTGACAGACGTTAAACGGGGGAGAAGTGTCTTTGTAGCAGTTTGCGTTGCGGGGATGTTTGACATGACATGAGGTGAGAAACTAGATCGGAAGCCACCTTCACAGTAAAATCTTCGTTTTCCATTTGCTTTGCCTTTTGGTGATGAACTGGACTCAATCTGCGTTTTATTTTAGAGAAAAGTCAATACAAGTGATACGATACAGAGAGCAACAGAGGGAGCGGGCCAAGCGTTGCACTTCATCTGTCCAGATAGCACTGGCTCTAGTGTTCACAGGGAAGATGCAGGTTCTGCTCCTGGGTTTATGTGACTATTAGGTTCTGGTAGAGGAGCTCAGCATGTTGTCCCTGAGGGTTGGTGCTTATGGTTCCATGTTGGGCTGAGGCTCGACTTTTTGAGCAGGTTTTGTAAAAAAGGCAAAGGCTCATGTTACAGTAGAGCAGACAAGTCTTGGCGTGCTGCTTGACTGGTGGCCCATTGAGAGTCACGTCTCTGTTCTTGTTTCTGACACGTCTGATGACCCAAACTCGGATCTAGAGGTGGTGAGATAAGGTGCTTTTATTAAGGATGTATTGAACTTTTAACATGTATTCGTTTTGAAACTAACATTATAAAATACAGACCGCTTTATTATTGAAAGGCCAAATGTAACAGGCTAGTCCCTGCCTTGAGACGACTCTTGTCGTGATTTGGCGCTATATAAACTGTTTTATCAATAATAAACTCTCTAGTTTATAGCAAACAACAAATTATTTTACACCCAGATTTCACAATTTCTTTCAGATACAAAGATTCTGATAAACATCTAACTTACATCACACCACCTACACATTACACTCCATCACCGCATGTCCACTCCATCACATCTCATTATTCACATCTTGTCATGTATAATCATTGGTTTAGAAAAGAATAAAATTCCTTTTTAACTATATACCTGACTCTGTCTGAATTAATACGAAGTGTGTTTATGGTCCCTGAACAAGTAAAAGTAACTATAATCTTCTGATTAAACTTCAAAGATCAATCAGGTTGATATTTCATATTTATATGGAATCATCACATCTTATTGGTCATAATTAATTAGCAGTTGTTACGCTATGAAGTGTGACCGCTACAAAGTGGCAAGCCAAACCAGTCTTATTCAAATCATTTCCCGACGTTTTCACAAAGCTACAATTCTAATCCCAGCCTGATCAGCTGCGATTAAAACTACGATCCGACGGCAAATTCTGGACGTAATTCCGAAGTTCATACCGGAGATAATATATTTTTGGTTAATATTCCAGACATCGCGTCTGAAGCTGTGTTCGTTTTAGTGACCCGTGCATAGTGGCGTGACTTGGCATAAAAGTGCTACAGTCACAGCTCCGTGCGGAAGTGCGATCACGAAGTACATTCCGTCAACTACCGCTATACCGACTAATTACTACGAGAGCCTTTGTGTGGTACGCCGTATTCTGCTGAAGGGCTTTAAAATTTTAGCAATTTGAACCGAACATCTGGGCTTATCAATCCATGCCTGCTAACGTGATAAGCAAAGCTAGCATTGCTAACGTGAAGCACGGTTAGATACCGCCGCTGAATCTGATTCAGCGGCGGTATCAGCCAACTGTCGCAGTGACTGTCTGCGTCTCTACTCGCTATCCCTACGGGGTAAAGCTCTGGCGTTTTTAGCCGTATTTAGTCCTCTGCTACTGAGAGACAATCTCTCTCTACTCGGCAATTTCGCCATTTTGGCTCTGCATCCCTCTCGTGTGTAGAAATGACATATCCTACCCCTCTCTCATTGTCTTGCTCTCTTGGCACTCAAACGCCTTCTCTTGGCATCTCCATGGCACAAACCTTCTTTCTGTCTTTCTGTGATTCTTGTGGTAAATTATCATGCTTTGTTTTTCAAACCTTGTAGCACACTTTTAGCACTATTCTAGCATTGCTTGTATGTCTTATTGCTCCCATTTTAGTTGCAGGTTAGTGATGTATCCTTTTATGTTTTTGAAGTAAATTCTTAATGAACTCATTTTAATATTTTCACAGATCTTGTATTTTCAACAAAATTCTACTTTTACTTTTCAGAATAAATTAGTTTTAGCCATAATAAATGGAAATATGAAAGTGAAAACAACATTTAGTAAGAAGCTCTGAATAAAGCCAAAATATTCAGGCTAATTACAGTGTTGCTTGTGGGACGTGATTGCTGTTTGTTTCACACATTGCAAACCGTTTGAATGAATGTTGCTTCATTACATCATAGACTGGTGCTGGTTGTGTTCCAGGCCAGTTCCTAATCTAATTTAACAGGAAAGAGTTTGCTAATGTTATGAATAAGTCATAAA